AGTCTTCTGCCAACTTCAAGTCGGCCCCATTTGTATATAATTGTCTCTCACTTTGTTTCATATCAATATCGGCAATTATGAATACTCGCTATCGTTGTTTGAAAATAAAAGAGATATTTAATTATATATTCATTCTTAGCACTAAAATAATAAATAAATTTTACTATATTTAATTTTTATAAACATACCCGAAAAATACCCAAAAAATAACAGCTGGACCTATTGAATTTAATTTTGATTATTAAATTACTTTGATACCCTATTGAGTGTTTTGGGCTTTTTTATGAGGTTTTAGGGTTAGGTTTGTTTTAAGAAATTAATGGCAGTTTTGTAATTTAAAATAAGTTAAAAGTCTTTTTGTTATGTTGTAAATGAGTTTTGGATATGTTTCTAAAGTCCATTTCATATAGAATTTTTATTATTATTTTTATTTATTTATAATAATTTGGGCTCCTATATTGGATATAATAGTGAATCTCCCAAAATAAAAACTCATACATTCGTTATAGTTTAATGTTTAATATGTAGAGATATGTATACCAAAAATATATACATGTGTTTTTTTTTTTGGGGTAGTTGAGAACCTTTAATTCTACAGAAAGGGGCGAGCAATTTCCATTCGCAATTATCATAATATACATTATGTTTCTTTTTTGTTACATTGGAGTTCGACTCTAGAGTTCGAAATGGGGTGCCATGGGAAACCACCACCACTGTAGTGGAAACCATTGGCCATTATGTATTTGTATAACATAATGATTTTAGGCTAAAAATCACTTTTCTTCCTTGAAATTTGTTGAAATTTTCACTTTCGTCCATATGGTTTCAATTCTGGCAATTTGACCATTGTAATTTGATTTTATTGCAATTTAAGGACACCCAATTTCTTGAGCGAACAAACACGTCTCTTATGTGGAGGGGTATATTGGACATAATTTTGGATGGAAATTTGAATGTGTCATTGAATTGTGATAGAATCAATCAAACTACATGGGTTAAATTGATAAAATTAAAACTACAAAGACTAAAGTGGAAAAAATGACAAACTACAGGGACCAAATCTGACTATTTTATTAAGAACGACGTTCTCAGTTATTTCACACTTTCTTCCGTGCAAACAAATAAGAGTAGAACTACACATACCAACTTTTTTTTTTTCCCAACTCTTATCTCAACAAAAGGTTTGTTTCTTGTAGCATAGAATTAAAATTAGGCGTAGGGGTAGGCTAAATTTTTACTTTGGGTAATACCAGGGTTTTATTTTATTTTATAATAACATGCTTATTATTAACACTATTTTTTTTTTTCCTAAAAAAGATGGGGTGGGCTAGAGCCCATGATATCCCGTGGCTCCTCCTTTTATCTCAACTCTCTAGTCTCTTACATGAAATGAGCTCTTTAGAGCACTTTCACCAATGGTGCCATGGCAAAGGGCAAGCAAGGGCAGACACTATTCACATAAATAGTGATTGTCCTACCCTTTTTTATTTTGCTTTTCCACCCAATGCCATGACAAACCAAGGGCAATTACTATTTATATGAGATTAATTTTATTTATATGCATGAGATTAATAATAAAAAACTACATTGTCTCCTAATCACATGAATTCCTTAACATATGAGAGAAATGGGATCTCGAGCCTCTACATTTAGCATCCGTGCATTTACACACATTTAAAGAGATGTTAACCATTAGATTGATCTAATGAATTTTAACAAGTCCACATCAGCATCTCTTTAACCTCCACCGGTTGTTGCTATCCATGGCCACCACCTTTCTCTGCGCCATCCATAGTCCTATCATAGTATTTAACATAGAATTATTCTCTCAACAGCAAGCAAGTACTTCAAAATTAAACTGCAATTGAAAATCCTAGAGGTGCCTACCAACTATAGGACCTAGTGAAGGTGTGTGTGAAAGAGAAGAAAAGAGAGTGAAAGGCAGCAACAATTGGCGCGCAGTACAGGGGCTGGGTTGCCGAGGAAGGTGGTTGTTGTTTGATGGGAGTTTTTAATTTTAAAGATATACATATTATAAGGTGCAAATGGTGAGTTTTGGTATAATACAATTATGATGACGTGGACTTATTAAAATTCATTAGATCAATCTAATGGTTAACATCTCTTTAAACGCGTGTAAATATAGAGACTCGGGATCCACACAATAAGCTGAAAAGAAATTGGTGTCTCTATTATGAATTATGGATTTAAAAACAAAAACAAAAAACAAAAAATAAATTGAAAATTATATATAGTTGCATACATAAGAGCATCTCCAAGGGAGATGTCAAATATCAAACATTAAATTTAAATTTGATGGCTGATGTGGCAATTTGACATCTTACACAGCTTTACACTCCACCAAATATGTCAAATTAAATTATTATTTTATTACGTTTTAGTGTTGATTTATTTTTAATTAAAAAGAAAAGAAAAAAATAAAATATTCATTTGACATCTTGCTTTTGGGATGTCAAAAATAACATCTCAACCTTCAGCTTTCATTCCATATCAGCTTTGACACATCGGTTAGAGTAATATGAGATGTTATTTCTAGCTGTTAAATGTCTATATGGCACTTTTGACATATCGATTAGAGATGCTCTAAGAGCATCTCCAAGGGAGATGTCAAATATCAAACATTAAATTTAAATTTGATGGCTAATATGGCAATTTGACATCTTACACAGCTTTATACTTCACCCAATATGTCAAATTAAATTATTATTTTATTACATTTTAGTGTTGATTTATTTTTAATTAAAAAGAAAAGAAAAGAAAAAATAAAATATTCATTTGACATATTGCTTTTGGGATATCAAAAATAACATTTCAACTTTCAGCTTTCATTCCACATCAGCTTTGACATATCGGTTGAAGTAATATAAGATGTTATTTCTAACTGTTAAATATCTATATAGCACTTTTAACATATCGATTAGAGATGCTCTAACATACGCAAATTTTCTTATATGTCCGTATTGAGCTTTTCTTATGTGAACAACTGTGAACATTGTCCCTTGTTCAGTTACATGTCCTTCTTTTTCATCATGTGTTAGTGAGTTTAGGTGTGCCCACAGCCCACCGAAATTAAATTTGGTCAAACAGAAGACAAATTCATTGCCCCAAAACTGTTTTTATAATAAACTTTCCTCTTCCAAAAGGTTAGCTGATGTGAGTACGGATGTCAGTCTTATCCTCATTCAAAGTGTGTACGGTTGGTATTTGAACAAGTTTTTTGGACTTCCCTCCTTTTGAAATCGATGGACTTCTACTTCTAGAGATCGCATGTCATCTTAACTGAAAAGTAGTAGCTTTCTAACTTTTTTTTTTTTTTTTTTTTTCTGGTTATTATAATATGTGTGTTAATATTGGTTATATCACGTGATCATATTCTAGCATAATAAATGATCTGTGAAAAATCTAAAAATTAAAAATAGCCCTAATGTGCATGGGGCATTAATAAATACTACGTACAACAAATTATTGCTCATGTGACATATATTTTCTCTAATTTTTGTTTGTTATTGATTGATGAGCATTTTTCAAATAAGTTTGGTACACGTGATAACCAACGCATGCATGAGATATAATATTCTTTGTTTTCTAGAGAAACTTCTAAACGTGATTCTACTATGGTTGGCTGATCATAGACTAGCTACTCGTATTTGGGGTATACTCACCAGAAAGGCCTACCAGACTACTAAACTGGTAGGCTCTGTTATTAGTCTGTTGGAACGCACGTCAACCATACCATTTGCTAGAGTGTTATTTTATTTTATTCTTCTACGAACGAACATTTTTTTAATATTAATGATCTCGGAAAAAGAGATAAATACTCTTAACATCTCGAGCTACATTTATTATGAGATAACGTTTTGTATTATAGAATGCTCTTTGATAGTTCTTCTGTAAACTTTTTGGTTTGACAAAACGTGCTTCTATTTACACCCAAAAGCGTAGAGTAAAGCTATCAATTCCCAACAAGCTAGCTGGTATTTACGTTGGCAATGATATAAAGAGGGTCGTGTGCTGCGTGACTGGGTCTTGTAAAGCCAGCGGCCTACAAGATTTCGGGGTTCAAGATTTTTGAATAACACATTTCATTTGACAGCTCTTGTTAATTTTCTTTGTTTTTGGTTTTGGGCCAGCCAAAACTAAAGAATACTGAAGTTAGCCAAGACCCAGCTAAGGTACGTGCAAACGAATTCTCCTCACGGATGTGTGGCCCATATGACAACTAAAGGCCAACCATCCCGAGTCCGACATGAAGAATACTTGTGACCTAATTTTTATTTTTTATTTTTATACAAGCGATAATTTATTTTAAATCAATGTTATCCATGCAAAGAGAGATTAAAAAAACGAAATCAAACATTGACGGATATATATCATAAACCAGCATATTTGTTTAGTTACAAAAGAAACAAGACAGAGGGGAATTCAAACTCTAGTTTTAGGTATGGAGGTAAATGCTCATTATGACCGGAGCTACAAGCCCTCCACAACAACCAAACTCTTTCCTATAAAAACAACTTGTTTTGACCTAAAATGACATCACTAGAAATAAAGTTAATATTAGTTAGTTTTTTTTCCCCCCCAAGAATCAAATACTTTTATTAAAGGCGAACACGAACATCAGCATCTCTAGCTAAGGTATTAAACAACCAATCTGAAGGTACAAAATTCCAATAATAACTACCACCTACCCTACATGCAAAAGTTGCAACCTCATGAGCAGCTTATCAAAGTTAATATTAGTTAGTTAAATTTTATATCAAAATTAACCTTATCAAAGTTGTCATAACAAGATGATGATGAAAGTGAAATTATTAAAAATCAATCTAAAGTGATAACCATCAATTTTTCTATCAAGGTTTCTCTAAATAATAAAATAAAAACTCAATCAAACAAAGCTAAACCTTAACAACCCGGGCTTCATGAAGAAAGTTGGCGCAAGAATAGCACATTAGTAAAACAACCACGGCGGATTGGATGGAGCCAGGTGGCTGACTTGAACCCGCCAAGCCAAGGCCCAATAAAATACACAAAGTCAAATGATTTGACAATCAAAAAGGTAAATTGACCAATTCTTGTTAATTCTCCTAATCAATTTCGTCTTTTACTCGTGTTTTTGGTTCTGCTGGAACAGCGGGGAGCAGAGTGACAGTGCCGTCACCATGAAGAGGAAGAAGAAGGGAAAATCGTCACAGCCGTCGAAGCCAATTACGCTTCTAACACTGAGAGCAGCCAAAAAAGAAGAAGAACCCAGTAGTCGCAGCGAAAGCCAATTGCAATTGGTCACCACCACCACACCCTTCAGACTCCCCGATGATTGGTCCGTTGAGGAAAAGCGCCGTCCCCTCAGAAATACCTCCAACCCCGGCCGAATTGACAAGGTCTCTCTCTGTTTCTCCCTGTGTCTCTCTCTAAACTTGTTCAATTGTAATTGCATGATGTGCAATGCATATGCTTTGTTTAGATTAATGGGATGTTTTGAATGGTGGGTTTGTGGGAATTTCTCATTGCAGAGTGAAAAATTTGGAAACTTGTGGGTGGTAATGGTTTTGTTTTGGATTAATAAAGTGCCAAGATAGGCATTGGAATGGATTTACTGTTACTAGGCTCCATTTTACTATCCATTAAGTTAATCCCATCCAGCAAGAATTTGAAAAGGAAAAAAGAACGCAAATGATTGGAGTTTAGAGCCAATTGATCCTAACTAGCTTACTTTTTTTGCATAAGAAAATCAGGGTCTTTGTTAATACCCAGTAACTGTAAATGTTTAGGGTGGGATTCTATTATTTTTATACTCTTCAATTCCTGCTGCACATGCTCTGTGATCAAGTAAAGAACTCCCGTTTCTATATATCATCTACCATTTTTTTTCTCTCTTTTCTGTTGCAAATGTTTGCTGTTTTGCTGCTGGTATTGTAACTTTCAATCAGCACATCTTGATGTTATGCTTTCCATAATGGGTTTCTATATATAATATTTCTTATTTTTGAAAGTTCACTATTAAGATTATTATGTTGTGAACTTATTCTATCAAGTCTTACGGGGGATCAGATCTGAGACCTTTCATGTAATTGTGCAGTATTACATTGAGCCTGGCACAGGATTGAAGTTTCGTTCGTTGCCAGCTGTACAGAGATACCTAACAGAAGGGCAAATCGAAACACATATGAAGAAACTAAAACCAGGCAGTGAATGCAATGTGAGTTCTAGGATCTTCTTGTTTTTCAGTTAATGATAATACTTAGGATTCAAGAACTAAAAGTATTTTAAGTTCAGTTTTTTTTCTTTCCGTTGCTATGAGGGTTACAGTGGGAAGATAAATTTAGAATAAAAAAGAAACATAAACGCAGAAGTTGTGCTTAGTTCTGTACCACTTTTATCCTCTGCACTAAATTTACCACAATTGCTATAGAATGGTCTTACAAGCCATGTACAAGTTGGGAAAAGAAATGGTGTAGATTTTATCAGGAATCTAAATTACAAAAACTGAGGCCCATCTTGGTGATCTTATCTTATACATCCAAACCCTTTCCAAGATGTTGTCAAGAATATTGTTAGAATGTCTACTTTTTCCATGAGAAAGTGTATAGAAGAATTATTTGGGCCCAGTTATAATATCTTGGCCTCTTGTAGGTACTATACTTTTTAATACGATTTCAGAATTAAATTTGGTTATGCATATTTATTTGAACTTTAGCCATTGCTACAATTGGTGTGCACTGATTAAATGGTCCGAACTTTGATACACTCAAAAGTTAAAAAAGTTATAGTATATTGGGGATCTTTTGAATCCATAGGTAGGAAAATAATGAGGGAGCTAAATCATAAGTGGATTTCAGAAGCGTCTCTGATCACCATATAGCAGTCCAAATTGTAGAGAAAAAGCTTGGAATGCCTAATATATGAAGGGAAAATCCTCATTGACAGTGTCAATCTGCAGATGCAAATTATACCAGGCACCACCTGTACTTCGTCCTTTATACTACCTGATGATTGGGAAATTGAGAAAAAGCAACGAAAGAATTCTCGTGTTATAGACAAGGTACCTGTTTTGTTTCAAAATTTTGGTGGTTTTTCTCTTCTCTGTTGTAGAAAGGGTATATCTAGCCATGCACTTGCTGAAAGTACTTGCATACTTCCTAGGGTGAAATTTCACAAATGAACGTGTGTGGCACTCATGTATCTGCACTTTGCATATGCATGTTCAGATGATATCTTTGCTATTATAAAGCCGGTCCCTCTTGTGGTCACTGACTTCTACAAAACATATACCTTAGCTTAACATCTCTTTAACCAACAATTTAGTTAACTCACATTGACTACACAAAACGGGAGGAATGAAGTTAACAAAAGGAGTTGATAGAAAGAGAAGGTTTGTGTGCTATATTCAAGATTGCTTAGCCTCTTTGCCCACATTCAGCACAACCGTATTGAGGTGGCTTATAAATTGGCATTTGATAAATTTGCCTTGGTAGCCAGTTTATAGCTTGCATATGTCTTCCCTTCACATGAATTCAAAATGCAGCATTGTGCTGAACAGTTCTTTTACTTTCTGTGAAATATTTTTAAGAGTTGCTTCTAGAACATTATTTCTATTCTATTTTGATCGCTGGACATATTTTTTGCAGACTTATATTGAGCCAGGGACTGGACAGCGGTTTCGTTCTTTAAGAGCTGTTGAGAGATACCTAACAGAAGGAAATGAAAATACTCCACTTAAGGTATTGATGCCTGCCAATGAGTCTAGTGTATGTTCTTTTACAATTACTGATTAAACAAAAGTTCATTTGCTCCTCCATGATCCTTGACCTTGTCCAGTTTTGCTTGTGTTTCAGCTTTCTCTTTGCTCTGGCGATCAGAAGATAAAAAGTTTGCCTGAGGTCCAGTCCCAGAAAGTTGTTTCTACACCTCTGGATATAAATATTTCTGGCGAGAGCGATGGACCATCCAAGCTCAATTTGGGCAGACCACCAGTAAAAGTGAATTGGGTCCTCGCAGGTCGTGGAGGAAACATGTGGAACCCCTTCATGGACGATTCTGAGGTCTCCGGTTTTGTAAAGCAAAAGTGGTTCGAGACTTTTAAATCATCAATGTATGGTGGAGATATTAGTGCACCAAGTCATAAGTCATAACTGTTTAGCCAGACTGGAACTTCTGTAATCAACTGTTTTATTCGTTTACTTTAGATGCTAGCCCACCCAAAGTTTTACCAGATCCTTACCATTTTAGCGATAAGATGTATATATGGATGTGTTTTCATACAAGGAGCAGTCTGTAACACCAAAGAACAGAATAATACTCATTTTGTATTTAATGACCAGCAGCTGATATCTTGAGATGGAAATGTATGATATCTAAAAATTAAAGCTAGATTGAGCTTCTGGTGAGGCAGATTTATTCACTTGGCATATAGAAATTTTAAGTATTACCACATCAAATGGTAATACTCATGACCAGCACATCAAATGGTAATACTCATGACCAGCAAAAGTGAGTTTTACTTTTTAATTTGAGCTCGTATATTAGGTATAATAGTGAATCTCCCTTAAATAAAAGCTTTTAATTACTTGAACTATAAACCTAATACATAGCCGAAATAAGATGAAAATGATTCGTACGGACATGAGCCATCAAATTTTCCAACTTATGACCTGCAATTTCTGTATTAAGCAAAGCCAAGTCAAGTCAAGTGGCTGATTTGAACTGTAAGGGAACTGCATTTGTCACTCCCATTGACTTCATATCATAAAATTTGTAATTCCAACTTCCAACTAGAAAGCACTTTGTAAACCTGATTTTTTTTTCTTTTTTTTTTCTTTTTCTGGGTTCTGCTACAATAGTGGGGAACATTGGTCAGTCTCTGATTTGATGTGTCCGAGGCAGAGTGAGTTGCTTTGCAAAGGGGAGGTTCTTCTTCTTGTGAGTCTTAAAACCAGGCTCCAAACAAACAAACACCTTTGCTAGAGTCGGTGACAATGAAGAAGAGCAGATGGTCACAGTCCAACCCAATTCCGCTTCTAACAAAAAGGCCAGCCGGAGAAGAAGAAGAAGAAGAACCTAGTTGTCACAGCAAAAGGGAACTGCAATTGATCACCACCTCAACCTTCAGACTCCCCGATGGTTGGTACGTTGAGGAAAAGCGCCGTCCCCTTAGCAATACTTCCCACCCCGGAAAAATCGACAGGGTCTCTCTCTCTCTCTCTCTCTCTCTAAACTTGTTCAAAATGTAATGCTTTGCATGCATGGATATTTTGCTTGGTGGATGTATGTAGTTTGCTATGTTTGGCTTGATGCCTTGGTGGGTCTTTTTCGTTGGGGGTTTAGCAGGGTTTTTGACTGGTATCAAGATTCATATGGCATTCTTTGCAAAGAGTCTGAGATTTTATTTAAAATTATGGGTTTGTGGGAATTTCACATTTTGTAGGCTGTACTTGAATTGAATATCAGTAAAATTTACCCCAGAAAGAATTTTAAAAAGAAAAAGTGAAGTAAAGTGATTGGAGTTTAGTTCCCTGGCTGGCTCTATTAAGGGACAGTTGACCATATCAAGATTTCATATTTTTGCATAAGAAAGTTTGGGTCTTTGATAAAACCCAGTAAATGTTTAGGGTGAGGATCTATTATTTTTAATACAATTCTTAATTCATGTTGCACATGCTCTATAAGATAATCTGGGTCCTCATGAAGCCCAATAAGCATCTGGTAGGGTCTACCATTAATTAATAGTGCCTTTTTCTCTTCTTCTATTTAGTTTCTTTTCTATCACATGTTCTCTGTTTTTGCTGCTGGCACTGTAAACTTTCAATTCGTACATCTTGATGATCTTATAGGATAACACCTACCTTTTAGTATGAAATCAAACTTTCAATTGGAACATATTTGATGCTATGCTTCCCAGAATGGATTTTTAGGCCACCCAGCCATCATGAACCCTTTCATGTCATTGTGCAGTATTACATTGAGCCTGGCACGGGACTGAAGTTTCGTTCGCTGTCAGCTGTACAGAGATACCTAACAGAAGGGAAAATCGAAACACGTACCAAGAATTCAGAACCAGGCAATGAATGGAATGTGAGTTCTTCGATCTACTTGTTTTTCAGCAAATGATAATACTTAGAACTCAGTAAATAAAATGATTTTACGTTTGGTTTTTTCCTTTTGTTGCTATGAGTGTTACACTGGGAAGATAAATTTAGAAAAGAAGAAACACAAACCCAGAAGTTGTGCTTAGTTATGCACCACTTTTATCCTCTGCACTAAATTTACCATAATCTCTATAGCATGTCTTACAAGCCATGGACAAGTTGGGAAGGGAAGTAGTGAAGACTTTATCAGGAATCTAAATCACAAACACTTAGGCCTATCTTGGGGGATATATCATATTATAGGATGCATCCATACCCTTTCCAAGATATTTTCAACAATATTTTCATTTGTCTTCTTTTTCCATGGGAAATTTATTGAAGGGATTATTTGGGCTGAATTATAATGTCTTGGACTCTTGTCACATGGTTTGGTAGAGGTTCCACTAGATTAAGGTACTATACTTCTCAATATGATTCCAGAATTAAACTCGATTATGCATGTCTATTTGAATTTTCCCCACTGCTACAATTCGTGTGCACAGATGAAAAGGGAACTTTGATATATTTAAAAACTTAGTTATAATCCAGTTGGGCCCTTTTGAATCCATAGGTAGGGAAGGGTAACCATGTGGAAGGAGCTAAATCATAAATAGATTTTAGAAGTATCTCTGATCATGGTATAGCAGACCAAATTGAAGGGGAAAAAAAAGCTTGCAATGCCTGAAATATGAAGAGAAAATCCTCATTGACAATGCCAATCTGCAGAAGCAAATTACACCACGCACCACCTGGAGCACTTCATCCTTTATACTACCTGATGGCTGGGAAGTTGAGGAAAAGCAACGAAACAATTCCTGTATCATAGACAAGGTACCTGTTTTGTTTTAAAAAATTTACATATCTAGCATGCACTTGCTGAAAATACTTGCATTCTCAACACAGGGTGAAATTGCACAGATGTACATTCTGAGTGTGCATGCATATGCACCTTACATATACATGTACAGATGTTATATTTACTGTTATAAAGATGATCCCTCTATGTGGTCACCGACTTCACCAAAATGTCTGTATTACCTTAACATCCTCTAAATTATAGTTAACCCACATCAACTATACAAAAGGGTTGTTATTGCATATTAGTCGAAAATTTCAAAAGAAGAGAATTTGTAGAGAACTTGAGGAAAGAAGTCGACAAAGGATTTGAGGAAAAGGGAAAGTTGGGAAAATTTTGGTGTATGTGCTCGTTTTCTTTATATGGAGTGTGTAGTGAGAAGTGCTGTATTCAAGATTTCTTTATTTCCTCTTTTTTTAAGAATGAGCATGAACATATTGAGGTGGGATTACAATTGGCATTTGATAAATTTGCCTTAGCAGCAACTTTATGTGCTTATGCCTTCCTTTAAAGAACATTCGAATGCAACATTGTGCTGAACAGTTCTTATCCTTTTGTGAAATGTATTTAGACAATCCATTGTTCTGAAAGAGAACATTATGATGTTGGTTCTAGCATACCTTTCTATTTTTGATTGCTGGACATGAGGAACCTGTGTTTTTATAGAACTTGAAAGTCAGTTGCATTTGCTTGTTCATTGTTTAGCACACTGCACTCCAGAAACATGAGATTTTTTATTATTTAAATTTTTTGCAGACCTATATTGAGCCAGTGACTGGACAGCGGTTCCGTTCTTTAATATCTGTTGAGAGATACCTAACAGGGGCAAATGAAGATACACCTCTCAAGGCATTGATACCTGCCTACAAGTCTGGTGTATGTTCTTTTACAATTACTGATTAAACAAAGGTTTCTTTGCTCCTCCATGATTCTTGGCCTTGTCCAATTGTGCTTGTGTTTCAGCTTTCACCTGGCTTAGGCCGTCAGAAGATGAAAAGTTTGGGTGAGATACAGTCCCAGAAAGTTGTCTCTAGTTCTCTGACGAGAAATATTTCTGGTGCGAATGATAGACCCTCCAAGCTCAATTTCGGCAGACCACCAGCAAAAGTGAAATGGGTCCTCGGAGGTCCTGGGGGGTGTATGTGGAACCCCTTCATGGACGAATCAAAGGTCCCTGATTCTGTATTACAAAAGTGGTCCGAAACTTTCGTTTCATCCCTCTATGGTGGTAACATTGGTGCACCAAGGTCTTAAGTTATAACTGTTCTGCCAAAGTGAAACTTCTGTAATCTATGCTGTTTGTTTACTTCTTTAGTTTAGATGCAAGCCCACCCAAAGTTTTGCCAGATACTTATCGTCTTAGATATTAGTAGGTAGATGTAACTGTAAGTCTGTGATGAGGAGGTGGAGATATGCATATGCAGATGTGTTCTTATTCTTAGAGCATAAAGGGGCAGTTTATACCTTCGCAGTAACATTTTTGGTGATGAATGCAATTTGTTTTGGGTGGACGGAATGCAAAGAACCTGTTTTAGGCCCAAGTGAAATGAACTTCATGGATCCACTGAAATGAAATCATTGAACCCAATAGTCAATTTACAGGGGAAAATTATTTGATGTTTAAATCTGCAGTAAATTTGGAAAGTAAATCTTGTGTATCATTAGTGATCTTATGTAAACTTGTCAAAAGAGTAAATCCTGTTTGGTGTAAGGAAGGCCTTGTAATGAATATTGCGCAATTGCTTAAAAATGATTGGCTCAGTGGCTCACTCCATCCTCATGATTCTTTCACAAATCTTTATCTCATCATTCTTTCATGTATTCTTATTATTTTTTGAGCTCATGAACTGACAAATAGATTTTAAGTATCACCACATCAAATGGAATCATAAACTGGCACATTTTTTTAATTTTTTTATTGAATTGTTCAAGATCATCAAGTATCCGTGTAAATGGAACTAGTAGCGAATTCAAATTTTGAAATCACTGTTTTTTTTTTTTTTTGGTTGCATGAGCATAAATTGTGTTAAAATGTTACTCTCTCTTATACCATATATCTCATACATAAGTTAGCATCAATTCAATTCTCTGTTTCAGAGATAGAAGAGATAGGGGAAATTATAATTTTAACACATCGGTTCCAAACTTGTGTACTTTTTGCTAAAGCTCTAGATTTGTCGACATTGGGTGTAAACTCAAGAGCAGAGTTGAAGAATAGATCATGACAAATTTTGCTTAAAGACACAAGCTCATAGCAACAACCATCTGCTACACTCCCACCTTTGAAAATAGTTTCACCAACTTCCCGAGCACACTTAATGGATATCTGTTTTTTACATTCATCCATTGTTTTTGATTTTGAAGCCTTTGAGGTTGGAATTGGGATAGAAGATGTGCGGGAGACCGCAATTCCAACACATATGTTCCAAAGTTGTGCACTCTTTGCCAAAGCTTCAGATTTGTCTGCATTGGATTTAAACGCAAGAGCAAGAGTTGAAGAATAGATCATGATAAGTTTTGCCTACAGACACAAGCTCATTGCAACAATCACCTGTTACACTCCCACCTTCAAAAATACTTCCACCAACTTCCCAAGCGCAGTCAATGGAGATATGTGATGCCTCTAAGGTTGAAATTCCGAAACCTACCAAAATCATTCTAGAGGGACTTACCAAAAGCAAAATGACCAACAACGGATACATATTTAGTGCAGCCACAATACTTTGTGGTACTGCTGAATAGTTTTTATTTTCTTTGGAAATGGAAAGAACTCTTGGATGAGTTGCGTTTTAAGTATTTGTTTATTTATAAGGTTTCTTGCAAAGGTCTGAGTGACATGGAATATGAAAACACCCTAGTACCTCATAAATACATAACCGATTTAATTAATCTCGATATTAAAGGCGAGAGTTTCTTCAACTTGGTTACATTGCAATACATAATAAACCCATAATCTGATTGAACATATTACTTATACAACATTAATATAGTCCAACGGTTATACGCATGATAAAGACGTTTGTTGTTGTGAACAACGTTTGGTAGAACGACTGGAGGCCCTATTTAATAAGTGGTCGTTTAATGATTTCAATATAATAATAAAATACATTGATATAAATTACTTGGTATGGTGAATGGTGATGCTTAATTATCTTAACTAATTATTGGTATATTAAGATAAGTAAAGTTAAATAGTACAACAACCAACATATTTCTTTGGTTGCAAGACCGATGAGCATGGGCCTAAGAAATCCCTGGATGAAGGGCACAACAATCAGCCACTAACTACCAACAAATGAACCCATAAATTTGCTAATTCATATGCTAAGTTGACACCAACCAAACCATCCAAGAGCTTAATAAAGAAGTCGATAAAGTGGTCTCACAATAAGATGAAAGTTCTCTTTCGATGGTCTCAAATTTTCCAACAAACAATTTCTCCAGCAAATCAGTGAAAATAACAATTTCTCTAACACTTTTTTTAGTGACAAAAATAAATCATAATTTTTTTTTTGGGCAGCGTGTAAAACTGTGGCTCGAAATCAACGCCAGGTAGCTGGTTTAACTGTAAAAGGAGCTGCATTGTCAGTGTCACTCTCACTCCCATTGTCATTGACTCATTGCGCTTAAATCATGAACTTGAACCAGACCCCAACAGAAGCATCTTTGCTTGAGTGACAGTGCCGTGACCATGAGGATGCGCAAATCTTCACAGTCGAAGCCAATTCCGCTTCTGACAACGAGGCCAGCCGAAGATGAAGAAGAAGAAGAAGAACCCAGTAGTAGCAGCAAAAGGAAATTGCAAATGGTCACCACCTCACCCTTCAAACTCCCTGATGGTTGGTCCGTTCAAGAAAAGCGCCGTCCCCTTAGCAACAGTTGCAATCCCGGCCAAATCGACAGGGTCTCTTTCTCTCTCACTCTCTAAACTTGTTCAAAGTGTAAATGCATGTACAATGTATATGCTTAAATGCTTTGCATGTGCATGGATGCTTTGACTTCTGGATGTGTGTCGTGTGCTATATGTTTGTATAAATGCCTGAGTTGTTCTTTGTTGTTGGGTTTTTAGCAGGAACTGACTGGTATTAAAATTCATGTGATCACTAGATTCTGGGATGTTTTTAGTATTCCCTTTGTAGGCCTTTCTCATTGCAGGGTAAAAAAAGGGGCTACCTGAGGGTGGTTGATTGATTTGGATTAATTGGGATAGATTTACTATTACATGGCTCTGTTTGAATATCTGTAAAATGTTTTCCCAGAAAGAATTTAAAACGGAAAATGGTTGACTTTAGGTTCACTACTAGCTGGCTCCATTTCGAACCAATTGATCCTGTCAAGATTACTCTTTTTTGCATGAGAAAATCTGGTTTTTTCTTAAAACCCAACTTAGGGTAAGTATCCACTATTTATAATAATAGTTTAAATCCTGTTGCACATGCTCTCTGATCCAGTAAAGGCTCCTCCTTGCTATAAGATATCTGGGTTGAGACCCAAGACACATCGGTTCTACCATCAAGTAATGTTCTTTTCTCTCTGTTTTGTTTTTTCCCTTTACTGCCAATCCCATCGAGATAGCGTAATGCTTGAGCAATATTGATGTTTTATACTATATATCCTACATTTGGGTTTTTAGGCCACTCAGAACGATACCATACAGCCATCTTGCACTAATATCTAATGTTATAAGTTTTTTGAAATGAAACTCTGTGTTATCTACTAGAATTTCCATTCTCCAATATGTGCATTATACAAATCTGCCTCCCCCACACTATTTAACTTTGTTGTGTATACTATTTCTTATTATGAATTCAAAACTAAGTTTATTATGTTTTGAAGTTATTGTATTAGATCTTATGGGATCAGGTCTGAGACCTTTCATCTAACCTTGCAGTATTACTATGAGCCTGACACTGGACTGAAGTTTCGTTCGCTGGCAGCTGTTCAGAGATACCAAACAGAAGGGCAAATTGATACACGTACTATAAGATCCAAACCAGGCAGTGAATGCACTGTGAGTTCTGGGATCTACTTACTTTTTCAGTTATGAAAATATTTAGAATTCCTGTTAAAAATGATAATATTTAGAACTCACTCGCTAAAAGGATTTGAAGTTCGGTTTTTGTGTTGCTATAAGGGTTACAGTGGGAAGATAAATTTACACAAGAAAACAGAAATATAAACCCAGAAGTTATGCTTACTTCTAAATAAAAAAATTGAGGCCAATCTTGGTGATCTTACTGGATACAGGCAAACCCCTCTTTCAAGATATTGTCAAGAATATTGTTAGCTTTTGTTTCTTTTTCTGTGAGAGAATGAATAGAAGAATGGTTTGGGCCCAAGCATAATGTCTTTGACTCTTGCTACATGTTTTGGTAGAGGGTTCACCAGATTAAGGTACCATATTTTTCAGTGTGATTTTCTTTCTTCTTTAAGTTACTGTACTTTTCAATATGATTCCAGAAGTAAATTTGATTATGCGTATGTATTTGAATTTTAGCCATTGTTACAATTGGTGTGCACAGATTAAATGGACAATAATTTGATGTACTTAAAACTTAATAAAACTATAATCTTGTGAGGCCCTTTTGAATCCATAGGCAGGCAAAGGTAACCATGAGGAGGGAGTTAAATCATAAATGGATGTTGTTAGAGGTATCTCTGGTGATCGTATGGCAATGCCTAAAGTATGAAGGGAAAAATCCTAATTGACAATGTCAATCTGCAGATACAAAATACGCCGAGCACCAACAGGAACACTTCATCCTTTTTACTCCCTGATGATTGGGAGATTGAGGAAAAGCGACGTTACAATTCTGCTGCCGTAGACAAGGTACCTGTTTTGTTTTAAAATATTGGCGGTTTTTCTCTTGAGTTATACGTCGTAGAAAGGGTATATCTAGCTTGTACCTGCTGAAAATACTTGCAGTCCGCAACACAGGGTGAAATTGCACAGATGCATGCATGCACTTTGCATACACATCTACAGATGATGTCTTTACTATTGCAAAGCTGATCCCTCTTTAGGGTCACTGACTTCACCCAAAAATTATGTATCACCTCAACATACTTTAAATTTATAATTTAGTTTACTTAAATTAACTATAGAAAATGGTTATTATTGAATATTAATCGAAAGTGTCAAAAGAAGAGAGATTGGAGGGAACACAAGGAAAGAAGTTGGCAAAAGGATTTAAGAGAAGGAGAAGGAAAATTACGGCGTGAGTGCTGGTTTTGTTTATATAGAGCCTACAGTGAGATGTGCTTTATTCAAGATTTGTTTCTTCTTTCTACAGAATGAGCTTGACCGTATTGAGGTGGCATAACAATTGGCATTTGATAAAGTTGCCCTGGTAGCCATTTAAAGGCTTGCGTATGCCTTCTTTCAAAGAACATTCAAATGCAACATTGTGCTGAACAGTTCTTATCGGGCAATCCATTTGTTCTGAAAGAGAACATTATGATGTTGGTTCTAGAATATGTTTCTATTTTTTATCGCTGGACATGAGTTAATGTGTGTTTTAATAGAACCTCAAAATCAGTTGCATTGCTTTGTCGTTGGGTATCACACTGCACCCCAGAAACATGAGAACGTTTATTTTTATTTTTATTTGTGCAGACTTATATTGAGCCAGGGACTGGACAACGGTTCCGTTCTTTAAGAGCTGCTGAGAGATATCTAACAGGAGCAAATGAATATACTTCCCTCAAGCCATTGGTACCTACCAATAAGTCTAGTGTATGCTCTTTTACAATTACTGATTAAACAGAAGTTTGCTCCTCTATCCATGATCCTTTACCTTGTCCAGTTTCGCTTGTGTTTCAGCTTTCCCCTGGCTCTGGCCGTCAGAAGATGAAAAGTTCAGGTGACATCCAGTACCAGAAGGTTGTTTCTAGTTCTGCGAAGATAAATATTTCTGGTGAGAATGATAGACCCTCCATGCTCAATTTCGGCATCCCACCAGCAAAAGTGAACTGGGTCCTCGGAGGTACCGGGGGGAGTATGTGGAACCCCTTCATGGAAGATTCAAAGGTCCCTGATTCTGTAAAGCAAAAGTGGTCCGAAACTTTTGTATCGGCCATTTATGGTGGAAACATTAGTGCTCCAAGCTTTTAAGTCATAACTGTTCTGCAAAGCGGAACTTGTGTAATATGTACTGTTTGTGTCTATTTACCTTAGATGCTAGCCCATCCAAAGTTGTGCCAGATCCTTAACTTTTTAGAGATTAATAGATGTATGAATGTTAGCTGGAACTGTGAGGAGGAGGTGGTGATATGCATGTACAAATCAGTAGTTGGAGCATAAAAAAACAGTGTACATTTGAAGTACCATTTTGGTGATGAATGCAAAATGTTTTGGGTGGACCGAATCAAAAAATTGTTAATGATGAGGAAACTTAGTTCAAAAAACTTAAATGATCCCAAACTCAGTTTGAATTTAATGACTAGCATCTGATGGGAAAATGTATGGTGTTTAAAGCTGGATTGAGCTTCTGGTGAAGCAGATTCAAGTTGAGGATCTTTCAAGTACAAAACTGTCTTGCTAGGCTGATTGCAGTTTCAGGCACTTCTCTCAACCCTTTTAATTGTCATATAGTTCATGTGACAACCAACAAATTTTTAGCAAAAAAAGAAGCGTACCATAAGACAATAGCACATCATTCCACCAAGCTCATATGACATCAAAACAACGCCGTCCAAACAATAAAACAATTTAGACCATATTATCAGATCGCACCTCTCAAGTAGAACTCACTTGTATTCGTAAGTTCCTCCTACATTAGTAATACTAATATGGTCTGTAATTATGGAACAAGTACATTCTTCGCTTGAGCAACTTATGTTTTTTGTAATACAATATCACATTTCTCTCGGAGGCTCACCTGCTAACTAAACAGCCTAAAAGTCAAAACTAAAACACACGAAAATCTGACTACAGAAAATCATCAGTAAGAAATCATTTGTAAAAGAACTTTTACTACAGAAAATCATGAATACCTAAAACACTTATTAGAAATGGAAAATAATCAAGGTGGCATTGGCATCCTTCCAGATAAGTAGAGAGACAGCTTATCTCTCAGATGAACACCGTTTACGTCAACAGTTCCACAAATCTGTTGGTGGTAAGTTGAGTCATGCTTGTGAGACAAAGGCATTTCATCTTGCACCTCATCTTCCATATCGATAACAATGTTATGAAGCAAGCAGCAAACAAGAATGATCCTTGGCAATCTATGTTTGTCTGGTCTCCACATCACTCCTTGAATGATCCTCCACTTGTCCTTCAACCTTGCCAATGCTCTATGTGCAACCATCCGGGTAGCATAATGCCTCTTATTGAACTCAGCTTTTGGCACTGGAAGTTCTTTTCCTTCATAGGGGGTTACAAGATAGGGCAGTAAAGGAAAGCCCAAATCCCCAATTATGTACTCACGTATATCCAATCCTTTGGAGAGGTCTAATATTTTCCCATTCAACCTCTCACCTCTATCACAGAGTTCATAAAAATTTGAACTCTGAAAGACTGTCCAGTCCTTCATCTTTCCTGGCCATCCAGTTACTATGTCCCGAAACCTCATGTCAGGGTCCACAATGGCTTGTAAGACCATGCTGTGATTCTTCTCTTGATCGAGCCACGCATCACTTGTGGGGTCCGAAGCAGGCAAACACATCATGATGTGGGTAGTATCAACAACACCAGAACAATTAGGAAAGCCTCGTATTTTCTGAAATTTGGATTTAATTTCTGACATTTCTGCTTCAGTGGAGGGCCATTGCAGGTGGTGAAGTCCTCTTTCTTCCATGGCTTCCACAAAACGCCAGGTCACTTGAGACACAGTTGAGTGGTTCACCCCAAATGCATCGCCAATTGTCACTAGTGACTCACCAGAGCTCAGTCTTCTTAAAGCTACAGCTACTTGATCGTACAAACACAAGGGCTTACCATTTGTAAACACAAAGTGTGCAGATTTAGCCAGCATATCTTCATTCACAAGTGAACATATGTAGTCAAAGGTTTTCCTAGAAACCTTAAAAACAGATTCAAACTTGTCTAAACCCTTTGCTGGAGACTGAAGACCTGCAGACAAGAAGGGAGAGATAAGAGGAATTTTACTATTGGGAATGTGGAGCATTTAGATTTTACTTTGAATGCTTTAATGAAGTATTTTCACCACAATAGAAGCAAAAATAATCTCAAATATCTCGACAGCATAACTTACATAAAAATAATTCCAACATGACTCATGCAAAGTATGGTTGACACTATGAGTTACAGATATATATATAATTAACATATATATATATATTGTGTATGACATGATATAATTGTTCAACTGAATCAAAACGTGAAATTAATTTGTTCACATTTCTCAGCAAAATTTTTTGTTATAATAATAACAATCTGGTTGATCATGTGCTTATAAAAAGAGTCATAAGTTTGATCACTACTCTACAAACCAAAATTATCATGGTGAACTGCTGAAGTCAATACAAATGCAAGCACAACCTGGTCTCTACCTACATCAAGGGAGTTTAGATATTACATACCACACTTCTGATGAATTGCTTTTTAGTTAAGGATGATGCCTATTCATGAAGTAAAAAACTTTTATAAATGATCAAGAAAATGTTAGCTTTCTGTCTGCATTTATTTGATTTTATCACTTTCCCTGCGTGTGTGACTATGTTCATCCAATCAAATATACTTTCCAAAGTCATCTGCCTTATATACCATTATGTCTGTTGAACTTGGCATATAGAGTGCATACTTCAAGGTCTTAAAATACTATTCTTACCCAGCAGAAGCACTTTGCCTCCTTTTTTTTTTTTTTTTTTTTTTTTTTTTTTTAAAGGGGGTGGGGGGTTATGCCTCATGTTCAACCTTAACTTTCAATGATGCCCTTAAACATTTTGTAGACTTTCTAGTTAGCAAAATTGAGAAAAGACAACGTAACTGGACTAGTCCATTAAAACAGAAATCATTACTCTTGTGAAGCCTATCAAAAGAACTTGAGGGATTATTACAGCTTATTGAAAAACAAGAGGCATGGAAATGAGGTGAAAGCATACGTGGGAATTTAGAATGGTAAGCTATGATGGTTCTTGTTGTGTGCTTGTTTACACATAAAACACAGAGAGCTGGCAGGATAACATACTCTAGATCAGAATGAAGTTCCTGACATATATGAGATTAATATAGTTTAAGCATGTAGGCTATATGCAACTATATATTGGCAAACTCAAAGCATACTGAGAATAGTTGCTTCAAGTTCCAACAGTTGTTGAGAGAAGATAAGAAGGAACACACAAATGCGTTTATAATATAGTATATACAAAAATTAACAAAACAGTTTTTTCACAGTAACAAACTTCAAATGCTTCCCTGCTTGAGGGAAAAAAGAAAAGAAAAAGAATCTTATGAATTCCACTCAAAAAGTCTGCCCCACAACTGCATATAAAATCAAATAAGACCTCAAAGTATTCTTTTTGTTTCTTCTATTGAGTTCCTTATATCATACCCTCTGAATAATGGAGAAACTTCCAAACATTTTATACCTAGGTCTCTCTACATCCAGCTCCACCATTCAGTG